TATCTTAGGGCAAAAATCATTTGCAAGACGGATTCGCTATCATACTGAGTACCTCTGCGTTCAATTTTTTTCGTACCAACTGATTTGCATGAATTGAAAGAAGTGAAATAAAAAACAAATCGCCCTTGGCAAGGGATGATGTTTCCATGAAATCATTCTCAAACTACCTGTTAATGCTTTAAATGTACAGCAATTTTTTTAAATAAGTGTGGGGACTTCGACACGTCCTCCAAATACCTGTTCTCTCAAAAATTGTTCATGAAATCATGGAGATAACAATGACAACATTCCTTTAATGACTTAAGGAGAACATATTGATGTATCATCAAAGTTGAAATAAACCTAGCCAGAGGAAAAGTGGGAAGTGGTCTTGAAGGTCTTCCATTTACCATATTTGTGTCTGTGTTTTCAAACACCAATGCCAATGGATACTTTACGCTGACTATGTAAAGTTTATTATCAATAATGATGGTTATGCATGAATCTACAGTTGAAGTATAGCAACAGGAACTGAAGGTAAACGACCATACACAACGATGAGTGTTTGCTGAATGGGCTTTGGAACAGTTGCCAACTGACCCTAATTTTTATCGAAAAATCATATTCAGCGATGAGCCCCATTTCTAGATAAATGGGTGCGTGAACAAACTAAATTGTCAAATTTTGGGACGATACCAATCCACATGAGAACCGAGAGCGTCCAATGCATCCCAAAAAAGTCATTGTTTGCTGTAGATTTTGGTCTGGCGGCGTCGTAAAACCATATTTCTTTGAGAATGATGTTGGCCAGACCATTACTGTCAACGGCGAGCACCATGAGTCACCGATTACCAACTTCTCTTGGCTTGAATTGGATGATCTGGTCACCAACGACATGTGGTTTCAACAGGCTCATGCTAATTAATCAATCAATAGTTACAGTAAACATAATAAATAACAATAAATTAAGTGGTGGTGTTCAGTTCTTGGGAAACGCCCAATCAAAGCTTGTGTTGCGTATTTTCCTAGGTCTGGACACAACCACGAATGTTAGTAAGAAAAAGGAACTATTATTCCTTTCAGTAAGAAATAAGAATCAATAGAAATTAATAGAAATCAATGATCAACCCCCAAGAGGATTGAACCTGACAATCAGGCGAAAGGGAGGCAGGTCTAAGTGAGATAAAAAATCATTCAGGCATAATTCAGTGGATGATTTAAATGTTTCTTCTAAGAAATCAAACTTGTGATCAACGAAGGATATAATTGTTTTCTTGCGCTTATTTATATTTCTTATATTTACCAGTTCAACGGGAACTTGATTGACAAGTTTCGGTCCAAAGTAAATATCAAACCTTTGGGTATATACTAACTAACTATAACTAATTGTTCTTTCGGATCTGGCTTGGGTGTCGTGTATGTGTGTCATGTATGTACGTCCATAGTACAGTGATAGGTGTATAATCACAATCAATATCACTGTCAATATTTCAATTATTTTGGAGCACTCGCAATTTCATTTTTCACACAATGTTTGATACACATTATTTTTTTGCAAAACACTTCTAACTTGTATGCATCTCACCAACAAACTGAGCATGCTAAACAGCTGAAACTGTGTACCAACATAAAAAAATCTCTACGTAGCCCGCAAAATTTGAACATTCACCTTATTTTTTGAACACACCCTGTATTCATCACTAATCCTCTGGAATATACGGCCCATTCGAGAATAATTCATTATCTCTTCGGGACCTGCTCGATGATGCACTTTTCCGAAGTTGGAAACCGTTTTGAATAATTCAAATTACTCTCATTCGACAAATGTCAGATATTCAAGCGGCTGTATTCATGTAAAGGTGATCCCAGTGGATTCGAAATTTTCCTGCCAGCTGGGTGCGAGCAAAGTTGATTTAATTGGATTTCCAGTCGGTTGGAAACTTGTGCTTTGCGTTATTGGTTTGTTGGTGAAGGAGATGAATAACTGACTGAAAGTATTACTTTTTCGAGGAATATTATTGAAAGTATGCAAAAATGTATTGTTATTACCAATTTGTTACTTCATGTAAGAGTTTTTATGGATTATCGTGGATTTTTACCCTCTGTAACGTCTGTGGGATTCTATATATTTTTTAACTAGCTAATTTCCAATAAAACACGATTTCACTATGGCAGTTATTTAATACTCGACCGCTTTGTTTGAACATCAACAATACCGGTCCAATCTAATACATTGCTGCCAACTGTTCACTGTTGCCAACCAAACGCACCTTTACAATAACATTGACATCTTACATCTCTACTATATATGGGAAGACCACAGAATATATAGTAAATACCTACATTTATCAATCTATTGAAAACATTGTTTATTGCCATAAGGAATCGTGGTCACAAATATACAAATATTCATTTTTATATCTATCTATATCTTCCACATCTATATTTTTTCACAAAAATAAAAAAGACAACTCTCCACAATGATAGGTAAATCAATGAAGGTATTGTTTACCCAGCTAGTGTGATGATTATGTATCAGAAAATGAATTGTAAACATGCATAGCTTTTTTTTAGATCCTGAACTAGCAAAAAAATTAAAAATTATACTCATAATCGGTAAATCAATCAACAAATGTATGTGTATACTTCAACAGAGACGATTTCACTCCAAAGACATATCTTTACACGTTGGTCCACCTTGCTTTATACTTTTTTGCACAAATTTATTTTTTCTCATGGAAAAAATATATTTCTTGTCAGAGCTCTAATGTCTGATAGTTTGTTATACAATTTGTTGATTGTTGATTGACCTTATTAAGTGATGCGATCCCATGGTTACCAACTGCGGTAAAATAATGACATTTGACGTTTGTTAATGAATAAATAACCTATTTTTCTGAGTTCCTTCTGCATTTTCATTTTTGGGATATAATTGGGACATAACATCTTATATTTCTTCATAGCTGATTCTTCATTCTGGAGTCCCAACTTCATATAAGACGACTGGAAATCTCTTTTCGGCCATATTCTGGAAATCAGTTTCTCATTTACGAAAAATGAAAATACAGAAGGAACTTAGAAAGATAGGTTATTTATTTATAAGCATATTGTCAAATGTCATTATTTTACCGCAGGTGGCAACCATGGGGTCGCATCACTTAATAAGGTCAATCAACAAATTTCGAAGAAAAGGGAGAGCGTTGCGTTTTGATTTCAGAATCGTTACATTTTCATCATTTCACATAAACAGAAATTTTGAAAGAATATTTGTCGAATCAACAAATTTGGTATTTCGCAAGAATGTCAATACAAAATGTCACTTTGCATTTAGTTGTTTTCCTTGAAAGGTATGCACCGCCACCTTGCGACAACGGATCCCTCGGTCAGCACATCAATAATGTATTGGCCAACTACTGAACAATCAATCCATAACCTATTTTTTTATCAATTTAAATCTACTACAAAAACTGATCAGTAGTTTCTACTGAACTTCTGTCAGATTTATCGATATGTCGATATTGTAAACAAATTCATATTGAGCACACTGACAGTATCTTCCAATATTGGACAGATTCCGTAGGACCGTATATGTATATTTCTTGGATACGACCCAAATCTGTTTCCAGACGATGAAGACATATATACTCGTATATGCGAAAATATAACATAGCTTGGTAATTCGCAATAATTTTCAAAGCCGTTGCATCATTTTTCAAACTGTCAGTTTCATATCATCCGGGATTTCGTGTAACGTAGACTTTAAGATCCTGAAAACGTTTTTGTTGTGGTCCCAGCAGGGGAGATTTCAACAGTACAAAGTTCACACATATACTGGTGGTATACGTACAATAATGAATTGAAAGAATATAAGTTAGGTTAGGCTAGGTAAAAAGTGAGTGGGTGTATTTCAAGATAGTAGATGAATATTATACCATGCGCATCCCAAAATATTGATACCATAACCTTGCCAGATGACTGTTGCGTCTTTGCACGCTTTGGAGTCGGTTCACCACGTGCAGTCCGGTTTTTTTAAGGCTAAGCAGCTTCACACACTGCTTAGAATGAGCAATTCGATGTTTTAATAGATTGTTAGCTCGCTCGCACGGCATCCACTTTGAACAGAGCTTTCGTATACCAAAAAATGCATGCACGATAGACAGATTACTCGACTATCGAAGGACGAAGTGATTGACATTTGTAAATATATAACCGTGGCTTCGTTCGAATCAGTGACGTAATGCAAAACCAAATGAAGTCAAAATGTATGCTTTTCGTCAATGTGGTATGCATGTACGAAAAAATATTGAATTGTATAGCAATTCGTATTTTGCACGCTTTGGAGTCGGTTCACCACGTGCAGTCCGGTTTTTTTAAGGCTAAGCAGCTTCACACACTGCTTAGAATGAGCAATTCGATGTTTTGATAGATTGTTAGCTCGCTCGCACGGCATCCACTTTGATCAGAGCTTTCGTATACCAAAAAATGCATGCACGATATGTCTATCACGTTCCTTTGATATCTTTAGAGCCTCACTTTGCGGTCATCCAAAATTATTTTGTGAACTTTTTATATGTTTTCGTCTGAAACAGCCGCTTGGGGCGGTTGATTTTCCTGGTGCAAAATCCGAATTGTTCATCAAGCTAAGTCTGGACCTCAACTGTATTTTTTGCCATAGAGCAATGTTTATCAACCCACGAAATTCCTTTTTATCCATTTTCTTCGAACTAACAAAATTTGCTTCGCTCACAATGTTCTATTCCACAAATTAATAGTCTGATAGCTGTGAAAGTTGTACAGGTGTCTTTTGAAGGTTAGGGTTTACTAAAAATTATACGTATTCAACACTAGTAACGCCATCTGTGTGTCAGCCTAAGAACTTCTCAATCCTCCATAATTCCTGTCGAAAAACAGAGAGATGAACTCGAAAACCGCAAATATCTTTTATAAATATTGCAATATTTAATATCTCTCGTGTATACCTCTCTGGTTATTCAGAAATTATACTACCCCCATTGTTTCAGACTAGACGTTCGCGATGACCACTGAAGATAATGGAAATGTGATGGAATTGTTGAAACCTACGTCGAGCAGCAACGAAGATCTGAGCGAGTACACGGACGCCGACGAAAGCATTTCAGCGCCAACGGAATTTCTTGCGGAGGTAAGTAAGAGGCCCAAGTATTATTGATGTTACGTTGCGGCAACAGAGAGTGAGATTAAATTCTCGCGTCCCTTTGAAACAAATGCTCGGATAAATATGATTTACTTTCTTACCCTGTTTCAAAACAAAGGCGGGATTATACGTTTGGAAGATGAAGAGTATTAATGCCTCCAAACGAGTGGTTTTGGTAATTATGTTGTCCGTGTGTTCTAGCCAAATTTAATGCTTCGTAGTTCTTCGGTGAAATAACGACTAATAGGAAGCAGCGTTTATTATTAAATTTTACCTTTACATAAGACTTGAATATGTGGTTCTGTACACCATTTTAATTTTCCTTATGTCAAGTGTCAACTGTCTATATTGACACTTGTCACTAGAGTGCGTTCTAATATACCACAGTAAATCACGGCGAGTACGACTGGACTGGATGGTAGTAAATCTGTGTTTCAAAACAAATGTTCGAAAAATAAACACTTCTTGACCACTACCAACCAGAATTTTTGACAGCGGTTACATGAAAATATATATTATTGTTGGTTACTAGACGTTGTCAATTGTTATTGATAGGTCTCTTCCTCACTCCACCTCGTAGTTCGTAGACGAAGCTTACGTCACAATACACTTATAGTTTTGTTTATGTTTACTTCAATGAGTTCACCCTTTCTATGCCATTTCTGTGCCCTTTCCACATAAATTCAAAACTATTTTGTAGAGATTTGTTGTAACCTTATTGGTGGAAAAAAATTCGGCCTTTTTTCATTGAATAAACTACATCGTTACTTTCCTATTATATACAAAAGTTGAACATATTTGCTTAAATTTGTTTCTTATTATTTTTTTCTTTGCTGGTCTTTTTTAGGGTAGAAAAACACATGTTATACCTTCAAATAGATATTTATTAAACTGCCTGAAATTTTCAAATTAATACTAACGCCATTAGAACATGACGAATGTCTTCTCTGCAAGTTTTGACACAGAATTCCGATATTCTATGGGTTCGACAACTCTTCTAAGGTGTTTTCTGGCGTGTAATCGAATTCGACCGTGTATTCAAAAACGATTCATAGTGACGTCATTAATAATAAGATTCGCCAGAATGGAATGATTCAATTTGAATGATTCAATAATGAAAGTGACAACTGACGTAACGTAACGTCAAATTCCGTTTCAAAACCAACCTCACGCTAGTTTTGAATCATCATGAATACGTTCCAAATCATAGTTGATCTGACGTCATCGTTTCAACGCCAGAAAGAATGTATTTGAATCATAGACGAATACGTTTTGAATACATGAGCGCCAGAAACCACCTCTAGATAATATAAAAAGTGTTTTCTTTGCCAGCCTTACCAACCTTTAATAATAAAACGCTGAGATTCACCGTTTTGGTCCAAGATTGGTGTCTTCTATCTATAATATTTTTCAAATAAGAGGAAAAAAGGAACTTGGGATTGGCCCACGATCTTAATTGTATATCAAATTAGCGTAATACAATAAACAAGGGATGCCTTTGTGAATCAAATATGGCGAACTTTGACCAATTAATACTTGTATATTCATTAGTACATCCCATGTCAGGAAAAACAATTAGGATGCTATTGGTTTCCAACAAGAGAAAAGAGTCTATTGTAGACCTTTTGTGCATTGAATTCTTTTTTGTTTCAGTTTCTTTCCGCCGTAATGTTGAAGGATTACGTAACAGCATTGAAGTATTGCAAATTGAGTAAGTATTGAATGAACTCTTATATAATCCTATTGAAGATTTCCTCTATAGCTAGCTGCTTTCACATTTTTCAGGTTACCATTCAAATAACTTTTCTTTGTTACAAACTGATGCTTGACCGGATAGTTTTGGTATTTTCAGTCAGCTCAAATGATTCTGAAGTAATAAATTATCAATATTCAATGCACTGAAATACGATAATAGAAATTGTATCAGGTTGTTTCAAAAGTTTTGGCCGTTTTTGTGAGCCTTCTTTAAACTGTAATATCTTTTATTCACTTTCATCCAAATAAGCGCCAATTGAATCAGTGTACGTCAGCCAACGTAACACAAGCGATGCAGGCTTCGTGGAAAACTTTTTCCTAGTGAGCGTTCCATGTCAATTTTTTATCAAGTACAATGCCAAGATATTTCATCTCCGTTCCAAATGAAATGACCTCACCATTAAGGTAAAGTGGCGTTAGACGGCATCAGGCAGGGGATATAGTACCCCACCTTGAGTAGCTACAATAACTAATTCTATTCATTTGTATCAAGTTTCTCACATGTTTTCTATGATTCTCGTAATGGAGAAGTTGGAAAAAAAGTTTTCCCCAAAAATGCATACCTACTTTAAATATTTCGTTTTTATTTTAAATGAGGAATTAATCAATTGTTTCAGTTTGGTTATTTCTTGCGTTTTGTATAAAACAGGCAGCACCTATAGATGCTGATGATATATTTGACGATGATGGTGGATTTCATTGATATTTCCTTTTTAGTCTTGTCTTGGAAGTTTTCTTTCCTCTTCGAGCAACTTTTTTGACGTGACTTTTGAAACACCCTGTACAATTTTCTCAATACTCCTTGAAGTAAGACTTGTTTATTATTATGCTCTTTTGTGGTGATCACCACGTTGGGAATTTCAAAACTGAGGCTCGCCTCATAACAATTCAAAAACCAGGGAATTATTCAAAATAATGTAAATGGTATTCTCGCTTTTTTCCCGGCTTTACTGACTTTGCAAGACAATGTACGATTTTCAGTGTGATCCCGACGAAATTAACTTTCTCGATTTTCATGAACAGTTCTACAATACGAGCCGAACAACGCTGCAGCGAAAGAATTCTACCCACTCATCATAGAAAAGCTCCAGCAAAGTAAGTAGCTCCCTTTTGGAATTAACTCACAAAAGGCCCGCTCGCATATGAAATCCTAATTATGTGGCTATTACCAAATAATTGTTTCGTGAATATTCACATCGGTTAAAACCTGAAAATACCGAATAATAAATAGTGTTTGAATGTTTTGAAACTTCCGGAGATGGGGCTTGAAACAGTTGCTGCTATACAGGGTGTTTCAAATTCGATACTTAGCATTGGGATCTCGGAAACTATGAGAGATACGAAGATGGTTGAATTGGGGTATGTACTTGACAATGTGATACGAAAGTGGGGTAATCAAAAATAAACACTGAAAACATCAAGGGTCCTAAAATACTTCCCTGCGGTACACCTGAGATTGTTTCTTTAAGGGATGACCATGAGTAATCATCCAGTTTGACCCTCTGTGATCGGCCTGTGAGATAGCTGGTCATCCATTTAAGAGAAATGTCATCGAATCCTATGAACTTGAGCTTGCTGATGAGTAAATCGAAATTAACTAAATCGAAAGCTTTACTTTGATCAAGCTGTACTAAAATGGTGACTTTTGATTGATCTCTGAATCTCGCAAGATCGTCGATTACTTTCAAGAGGGCAGTCTGTGTTCTGTGTTTTTTGCGAAACCCATATTGCTCGTACGGGAGTATTCGATTTTCTTCAATTCTTCATGTGTGTTACGGAAAGGTTACAGCGGTTGAAGTCCTAGTTGAATCGCGTCTAGTTTTTTTTTGGCTTCGACTTTGACGTTATTTTCAGGAAGCTATGACTACAGTCAGAGGTCTCACTCTTCCTACTCCTCAGGTTTCGTCTCTGGTCTCCGCAAGAGTCTCAATCTGTCTACTCCCAAGCGTCGACTGTGAGTTCATAGGCTCTGGTTTGGTGCTTAGCAGTGTGGAGGGGCGGACCAGGTGCCGGTAGTGAGAACGGGGGTATGACATGCAGAAGCGAGGTTTGCTATGTTGGGAGGTGTACGGCGTGACAGTAATGATCTCCGTGAATGATGTAATCTCTTTTGTAGAAGCCGTTGGAACGTTTATCATTTTCAATATCTCCGCGGATTATCCTGGCCTGGGTGTTTTTTCGGTGCCAATTGATTTGGTGTTTTCGAAGATGATTGTGTGGTCTGTTTGACGATGATGGATCTGATTTACAAACAGCAAGCTTATGCCCATAGACACTGTTGGAGACTGTTCTGTTGCTCTGGCCGATGTCAGTTCTGGAGCAGGTGGAACATGGTATTACGTATATGCCTTGTGCCTCATTGGGTGTCGCGTCGTTAGGTGTTCGTAGAAAAGTGGAAGTTTGATTGTTGGCTATGAATACTGTTTTTATATCGCGCCTATTCAGAATTCAGTTCACTTTGTCCATGGATATAAGGAAGAGGAGTTTTTGGATGGTCTATCTGTTCATCGGGCTATTTGAGATGTGAAGTACGGGTTTGCTGTCACTGACAACCACAATAGATCCACGAACTAGTCGAACTCAAATCCGCCCTTCGCCAAAACGACTTATAGTGCTCGCAGTTAACAGTGATTGCCTGGCCATCGTCGTTCTCAAAGAAACATGAACCGACGACGCACCCAGCCCAAAATCCATACCAAACAGTGACTTTTTTGGGGTGCATTGGATGCTCTTGGATCTCATGTGGATTGGTATCGTCCCAAATTCGACAATTTTGTTTGTTCACTTACCCATTCATCTAGAAATGGGCCTCATCGCCGAAAATGTCATTATCAATTGTCAAAGTTCGGAAGTCCTTGTTGAAAGACCCTTTATATGCTATCGTATCAGCCAGTATTGCGCCAAAGTTAAGCACATTTTTTGGATTCAATAACTTCTTCGTTCAATAATACTTATTTTTCTTATAATGTCATGGACGACTTGCCAGATGATGTCTTGAGTTGCAATTCTGATGACTAGGAAAATTTCTTGTTTTGTATTTATTCAACGCCAGATGTTCCAGTTCCACTTTTGACTTCCTTTTCCTTCTAAGGAAATGAATAAATAACGTTTCTTTGGTATTTTTAATGAAATAATTCTGACAGCAAATAACTTCCGTTCACATCTGATCCACCGTTGTATATTTATGGATAGACAGCTTCACAACACCCATTTATTCTTGTCGCCCGAAGCAACAAGGACATTGGGTCATTTTCTTTGTTGAACAACGCCTTGAGCGGTGGTAAGTGTGTCTCGTTCAATTCACTGGAGATATGACGTTGCAATTTGTTACTTCGGTGTCTAGTGTCACTTTCATGTCACGTCTACCAAATGACGTCGAAAATGAAAGAGAAAATTCTATTACGAATAAATCGTTCGGAAGAAGTTCCATTTTTATGCCACAGTTAGGAAGAGAGAGAAACACTAAGGAGGGGCTGCATNCAGTTGATTTCAAATAATATTTAATCTGCGCTCGCGCCGCCCTCTATCTCAAAAACGATTCAACGTATGAAAAAATGTTTGAAACAATAGTTGTAGAGAATTCAATTCTCTATAATATTGATAAAATACAATTAGCATTAAACCTATTGGAAACGAGATATTGGCAAAAAACTTGCAAAAAAGTCGTTTTTTTGACGTTTGACCCTCAATTTTTGAAGTTGCCGCCGTCAAATCATATGTGAATTTTGAGAATACTATTATGATGGCAAAATACAATGTTTATACAAATTTACAGCTGAGTATGTCAACTTTCTGAAATACAAGCCTAAATCCACCTAAAATGACTGGACTAAAGGTCTTCCCAGCTATTCCCATTACAGTTAATGACAGTATTATCTGCGAAACTTATAATTTTGCCACAGCTTTCGACAGAAGAGTGTTGATTTGATCTGCCAAAAAGTTATAAAATTCTTAGATCGTTTCTTCATTTAGAAGACAGTTGTAACAATTTCCCTTCTGTGACACTGACCTACTAACTCAGTAGAGTTTTGCACCATAAACTCAACTTCGAACATGAAGTAGAAAACGACGGCTCAATTTGATGCAGGAACGACCGTTTCATCAAAGTTAAACAATTTCCTGTAATACAAAGTTCACGCGGCATGCACCCCGGTGTAAATTTTCCTCATCCTGGAGTTAACGAGGTCCGTGCTGCAATTTCCCGTGAATATTTTCATTTTCCATCTACGGCAAATATTTATCTCCTCGATTGTTTCACTGGGATTGCTGGCAAGGGCTTCCGGTAACCCTTCGCTTTATTTTTAGTGAAATTCTCATGAGCATCTGCTTTCACAGCACGTTTGAAGATGAAACGTACATAATCCGGGGATAATTACTTGTTTTGACAACCGTCCCACTTCCCGGATGCTTTTTTTGGGAAAGTAGCATTTTTCCAGCCTAGTTAATTAGCAGAATAGATTATAATTATGATTATCATGAAAAGTTGTGTGCTTTTTTTATGTTACTCGTAATCATAGATACTTTTGAAATTGTTATTACGTTGTTTCAAAAGTTTTGACCGTTTTATTGTCATGTGTCTTTTCAAGCACTTTGATAACTTTCTCACCGGTAGAACCTTCACCAATCAGGACCAGGCAAAAACGGTCTTCGTCGACTTCATCGAATCTCGAGCACTCAATCTTTATGCTGACGGAATTGTTCGACTTGTGTTATGTTGGCAAAATTGTACTGGTTCACAGTTTTAAGTACTCAAAAAAAAGAAGAAAAATTTTGTAACAACCTAATATATTCAACAAAGACATATTTTTTCTTCTAGATAGTACCGACCATCCAGCGCCTGTATCATTCCAAAACAAACCCGGAATGGCAAATGCCTTTGCGAATCAAGGAAATCAATTCCCGTTCGGGACGAGCTCAGATTCTGAGTCGCCTACTGAGCCAGTTACGCAGCAAACGATCGCTATGCTGAGAGCCAGAGTCGTGCCAAACAAAATGTAGAGTTAGACTTCAGAGATGATATTTTTATCTGTTTTATGCTCATTCTAAGTAGATCAGAGTGACGTAAGAATTTTAGAAATATTTTAATGGAACGTGCCTAGTGAACATCATATGGAAAAGAACCAGTAGATAAAAATGAAAAGTTGTGTCTTTCTTGCTCATATTTGTAATAAAGGGAATCTATTACTTTTACAGCTACAGGTGCTATCAGTTCTTCAACTTATTTACCATGTGATGCGAATATTTTGGAACGTATATTTTTTATTA